CTACTTTGTCAACGCAAAATGAAACCGGTCTAGCTAGATGCCGGTCTAGATGGGAAAATCTAGACCGCGGACAATATCGATTTCAGCCAATAATATTCGTGAATTCGGTAGTTCCCAGTCTTTGTGAGACGCAGCCATATAATAAGCTCGGATATTGGTCGGTGGACATTTTCTCTTCGGTGGAAGCGAACTGTTTCTGAGAGCAAAGCTCGAGAAAAACTTTGAGCTTCACGGAACAGATCATGTTCAAGGACAAATATTCGAGCATATTTTTTAAGTCAAATAGGTGTTATTGTGTTAATTATCAATCAAATATTATTCGCAAGTCTTGAAGTCTTGAAAATTGAATATCACTCGGATATTCCCCACTTCGGCTGGGACATATTCGGTCACGTGACGTGTTTAAATCACTGACACCTCGTAGGCGAAGTCAGAAGACTACGAAGGCTTGAAATGGTTTGACGCTTTCTTTAAAAACAAACTATATGAAGAAACGGGCCAATAGTGCAAGAGAAAGATGAGCAGTGAAAAGCGATTGTGTGACACTGGCTAGGCTTCAAGATGGCCTCAAGAGTAAACTGTCAAAAAATGCGCTTTGATTTATTTACTGGTATATACCGTTGATGTTTGCTTTACTAGGTACCTCCATATTACTTTATTTTATAATGCTTTGCTAATACCGTGCGCCTTATTATAAAAATATTCATAAGGATAGACTTTCTTCTACGATTTTGCCGCCTGGAGTAGACGTCGAGTAGTTCCTCTTTCGCTAAGTCCGTCGAGCGCGGCGCAAAAAAAAAAAAAAGGCGGGATAAAAACAGGCCGAGCGGAATTTATCTCGCGCGTTCTAACCCCAGATTTCCCGCGGCCATTTGTTTCACGCACCTTAGAGTCATGTTTGACGGATTAAACGTACCCTAGCCCTGTAGACTCGTGGTCTTCGGTAAAACAATCTTGAACTAGAAATGATTAACCTAAACAATAGGCCTTTGCGGCAGTTGGTCAGGTTAACGATAATTTCTAAATTTTTAGCTTCAGCTAAATGACTTTCAGAACTGGAAAGAGCATGTTTTAACCCATAGACCTCTTTCGTTATTTATCACTACAAAAGGAAGCTGCTGGCGATAGAAAGAGGGCATAGAATTTTCAAAGCAAAGATTTTATGGCAGCTTGGAAACTTCCAAAATTACAAGGATTTGTATGGAAAACCGCTGGAGTGTGATTGAAGGGCAAAGCGTCTTCTTTCCATACAAATCCTTCCAATTTCTAACGTCCATAAAAATTCCCTCTTAAAGGATATAAGCTTGAAAATTTGAATGCACGTTTATTTGTAAATTCCATTTCTGATAACATTAAACATCACCAATGACTAAATCAGTGTTTTCTTGAAAGCACATCACGTGACCAACTAATGGCAAAGCCTATTGTCACTAAAAATAGCAGGCCTTCAACAATAATTTGGAACACGAGAAAATTGTAACAATAACGGTTAACTGTATAATCACAACACAGCAGTACTGTTGATTATTTTATTCTAAAACATTTGTAACTGCAGTAACCCAAGAATATACATCTTTTCATTTCTGTTTACCGCTAAATTTAAACTTATATATATATAAATAATTTCTTTCAGTTTTCCCAACAACTCTTATTTTGTGACTTTTATATAGTTATGTTAATGTAAAGAAATTGAAGAGAAAAATGTGAAAAAAAAATCTTTGAGTCAAAACGCTCAATTATAGTTCAAGGTCATTTGAAAAAAATAACACACATTACTTCCTTATGTTAACGGTTACAGCAACTGCCGAAAATACGTACTAATCATAATAAAACTTAGTAGAACTAATTGAAACAAAGAAAAAAACAAACAAACAAACAAACAAACCGAACCCAAGTAAAAACTTGTCACGCTGTGTACATTACAACTGACACAAAACAATATAAACAAAGGCACACGAGGCTAGAAAACGCTGACATTTTCTGGGCACGATTTCAGGTATTAAAATAAATTTAACGTGATTTGGTAGCAGTTCTAAACTTCAAACAGCAATACGAAGTCGTAATCATCCATCAAGGTGTCCGATATAAATATTGGCCAACTGGCCAAGGGACGCCTTTTGTAGCTCAGCAACATTTTTACTAAAGGAAGCGTTATCTGTTCCAAATCCCTAGTCTTAAAAAACGATCAATATAAAAGTAGGATATTAAACGAATGCGACTCGTTCAGTCATAGAAATTAGCCCCCTCCCTACCCGTGAGGATAGCGTCAATCCATATGCTCATTGCAAGACCACTAGGAGCCGCAACATAGTATGTTTCTTGGGGAGTTTTAACACAAAACGCTGTTCTTGTCGAGGAGCCTTTGTGCGAGTTGGGCAAATCTACGTACACGTCTTGTATGGCCTGGAAATAAACAATACCCTTGGGCACACGTTGATGTTCGTCAGAGTAGTAACACAGGGCACGCTTCTGTCTGTCCAAAACAAACCAACGCTTTTTCCAGGACTTGATGAGCTTTCCTCCCAGTTTTGACAGGTAGCCTTTACACGCACTGGCTGTCACGCGCACTGATGGGCAGTTTTCTAACACGTGACCTGTTGAGACCAAGTGCTGCACAAGGTTGATGTCGTGGTGAGAAGAACCATTTTTAACCTGTTTGATAAACAGAGGAAACAATATGTACAGATCAGCAATGTTTGTCACTTTCATTACTGACGAAATTTAGAGAGTCAGTGAATGGGAGTGAGCGTTAACTATAAACAGCTTCTACGTGGTTATTACCAAAGCAGGAAAGGGTGCAATTCAAAGTAAACAAGGGCTACAATCATGGACAAAAGTCTTGGGACAAATTTGCACTTTTGGCGCTTTTGCGTACACGCTAGGCGCGAATACAACTTCACCTGCCTAACCTCGCCCCCCACCCCCCATACAATGCAATTTCACCTGATTTTCAACATTGTCTTGTGGGGGAGGGGGGACAGCAACCCGTTTATAAAGGATATAGCAGCGTTTTCTTCATACTTCAGTTCTAAAACACAGATAATCCGTTACATTACGTAAGTGTCCCAAGGACTTTTGTCCACGATTGTAGTTCTTAAAAAGCAGAGCAGCTAACCAGCAGTTAATTAACACTAATTTGATACACACTGTTGATACTTAACACTAATTTGTATTAGTAAGTCGATTCTAAAACCATGCAGTCGAAAATAAACATGTCCAGACTATTGTCAAATACCAAACCAATCCCACCCCCATCGGCCCCATCCCGCCCCTCACATGCACGCCCGCATTCCTGTTCCGGATGCAACCGCCTCCCATCGCGCCTGCCCAGTTCGGCAACCAACGATTATAAGCAGCTGTATTAGCAAGCTTCGTGATGGAAAATGAAATAAATTAAAGTGGCTTTTTGTTTAAACAGCTAGGTTTCCTATACCCATTTCCCAGTGTGGGGAGGGGCAGTGAACAGTCCTCATGGAAACCTCCAACTTTTTTTGTTACCTTTGCAGGAAGTCTTTCTTGAATGGCCTTCTCCGTCATCATCTCTTTACGAGCTCTGTCGGCCGCTGCAACTTTCTCAAGTTCTTCTTGCTTCTGTTTTTCAGAGAGGATCCTTTCCATCTCCTGTCTTCTTACCCGTTCCAGTCCTAGAGCTTGTTCAAGTTCTTTGATTTTGTCGCCATTGTCTGTGATGTTTGTGTTGTTCTTCTGCTGTTTGAGTTCAGCTAACTGCCGCTCCAGCTCTACTCGTTTCTCCTTTTCTAGTTCAAGCTTGCGCGTTTGGTCTTTGGTTATCTCGTCTCCACTGCTACCGCTTTCGTTGCTGTCTTGTTGTTTAGCGTTATGCCAAAGGCTTTCTGCTTCTTTCTTCAGCTCTATCAGTCGCCTCTTTTCATTCTCCAAACGCTGTTTTCGCTCCTGAAGAGTGCAACCTTTTCCGAGCTGCGATATATCTCGCATGTTTAACGCTGACAGAATCAAAGGAGAATCTGAGCCGTTGCTTCTGATTTTCTTGTACTCTTTCTCAAGATTAATCAAACGCGACTTCTCTTTACGCATTTGTTCTCTTTGATTCTTAAGTTCCGTTTGGAGACGCCGTCTTTCTTCTTCCGCTTGTTGAAGTGTCTCCTGCTGCTGAACTTGTAAATCTCGAAAGCGCCTCTGCTCTCGTTGGAGTTCCCTTCTTTCTTCCTCTCTTTCCTTCTCGAATTGCTGTCGAATCACTTCTCTCTCTCGTTCTAATTGCTCGGCCGCTTCCCGCTGTTTCTGCTCTAACTCTTCCAGTAAAAGCTGCTCAGTTTCAAAAAATTCAAATTCGATTTGGCGTTCACGTTCCATCTTGTCCTGTTTTGAAATCATGGTATCTTCTATTTCCTTCATGGCTTGAGCATGCTTTTCCTCGAGTTCCACAAGCCGCCTTTTCTCTGATTCAATCATTTGTTTTTCATGCTCCTGCTCCCGGGCTGCATTCTCCAGCACTTCCAACCGTTCTTGTTCTAGTTTGTTCAATCGCTCGTGCTCCTCTTGAAGTCTCATCTTCTCTTCTTCGCGTTCTTCGTCGAGTCGTTTTCTCTCGAGCTCAATCCGTTTCAGGGCTTGTTGTTGCTGTTCCTCCAACAACTGAATCCTCTCCTTTTCTTTTTTAATCTTATTATTCTCTTTTTCCCTTTCCTCTTTTAACATCTTGATCTGGGCGTTCAGTTCCTCCTCCAGTTGTTGTATGACCTCACTTTGTCTGTCCTTCATCTCCTCAAGTTTCTTTCTTTCATCCTCGATCAGTTCGCTATCAAGTTGCTGGCGCTCGTAAGTAAGAACCTCTTCCTCTAAACTGCTCAACTCCTGAAGCGCTAGCTGTTGCCTCAACTCTTCGATGGCCACTCTTTCCTTCTCTGTTCCTTCTTCCCCTTCCAGCTTTGCTTTCATTACCTTTAATCGCTCGTATTCTTCTTGTCGTCTCTTTTCCTTGTTTGAGCGTTCGAGTTCTTGCTTTCTGACATTCTCTTCGTATTTTTCTTGAAGCATGATCAGTTTTTCTTTCTCTTCTTCAAAATGTTGCAGTTCTTCTCGCTGTCTTTCCAGTTCCTTGATTTGTACTGCTATTTCTTCTTCAAAGCTATTAACGGCTTCCTTGTGCTGTTGTTCCATTTCTTGGAGCTGGCGCCGTTCTTCTTCGAGTTCTGTCTTTTCAAACTCAATTCGCTTAACAGCATCTTTGTACTCACTTTCCAGAGACAACAAACGTTCGTTTTCCTTTTCTAGTCTTTCCCTTTCTTGCTTGTCTTTTTTGTATTGCTCAATGGCAAGCTCCACATCTGGTTAAAAGAAAAAAAAGAAAACTATTCACCACAAACGCTCAAAGCATTTGTGCGCGCTAACGAGATACAATCGACCCTTCCAAATCATCCTGTAATTGTAGTAAAAACCTCTTACTAACCGAGTTCGAGGTCCGTACTTTAAGTTACGGACCGAGTATTGTCCACTCCGATTTATGACCCAAGCGCAAAGCGCGTGGGTCGTAAATCGAAGGGGAAAAAACGAGGATCCGTAACTTACAGTACGGACCGAGAAGACGAGGTTAGTAGGATATTTATTATATCTCTACTGTGTGTTTGACGGGTTCGGGAACGATTTCTATCCACGCGGAGTGGCTTCCAATTTTTGACGCACGTCGAAAGCAAAACGAGCCAATTTGAAATCGTTGTGAAATCGTTGTTAAGTCGTTAGCACGTTTTAATACACTGAAAGTTTTAAACTTTTACTTGCAATAAAAGTTAGGAACACTTGGCGATAAACCACGAAACATTTTGACAACGAAAACGGCTTTAACATTTAGCGGGCCGTACTGTAGAATACGGCCGGTTAAATTGTCCAATCACAGCGCGCGTAGTAACTGAGAGATATCATAATAATAACAACAATAACAATAACAATGACAATGACAACGATAATGACAATGACATTGATGATGATGATGCTGATGATGATGATGATGATGATGATGATGATAATAATGATAATAACAATGAACCAACAAAGAACAAGTATGGTTTAGATTGCCTAAGATTGAGACGAATTAGTAGGGGTCGTTCCATTTTATTTGGAGGGGGGTGGTGATTTCCAAAAAAAGTAATAACGGTCTGTCCCTAACGACTAACTTGTGCCATCATCCGTGAGGCCACTCCACTCCACTCCACCCCACTAAGTACCTACCTGGGTAGTACTGGTCAGGAACGATGGAAAATCGGTTTCCTGGGTTGGATTCCTTGATCCTCTTCGCTTCTCTGGGATTATTAAACCGAAAGTAATTTGACTTTCCCAGACAAATCATACAACCTACAAAATACGATAACATCGTGACTATACGGAATATAGTGTGACACAAAAGTGATGAGTAAGTGGTAACTACTATTACAGTCATTTCCATGTTCAAGGAAAAAACCAAATCTTAACTGTTCGCTTTAACACAGGAAGGCATCCGTGAGAAAATCGATATCGTATTTATATTCCCTGAGCAAAAAAAGAGGGAACTCTCGACTTATTGTCAAGCAAACGTGTGTTAACCATATCTATCCTCAAGTACAAGTTTCAGCGTAAGATTCATTAAGGCGTGCACAATGATTTGAAAGAAAATGCGCAATTGTCACTCTTAGACTAAAAGCGATCAAACTGAGAGTCAGAGGTGAACTTGCCAGAGGAGACGGTAGCAAGAGACGAGCCACAGCTGTATGCCGATGAAGAAATTTCCTGCCAGTTTCCGTGTTGAAGGCAATTCCAACCCAGTACTGTAACATACAGGAGAGTAGGACACTATTTGCACTGGGCAGCTGGACTTGGTATAAACACTAGCTAGGCTCCTGCAAGGGTTGTAGGGATTACAGAGAGGGTGGGGGGAACGGATCGTGCATTAGCTCCTAGACAAGTGAACCAATTTGAGTCACGTGATCACTGGCACCTGTATGCTTCATATGCTCCGTAAGAGGACGCTTCATTTCATGAAGCACCCGCACTTGACGATAAAAAACAAATCGCAGGCTCACACGCCGATTTAATTGGAATAATCTCCACGGTACAGGGCGGATAAACCGCGCACACCAAAAATGGAAATACTTAAAATACGCTTGTACATGAACACTTCGTACCTTGCGGTAGCCTGGTTGGCTCCGAGATAGGAATTCCATCCACAGAACACATTGCTGCTTTAGGATACAGAACCACTGCGTCGCCATTGTATTCCGCTATACAGTGCTCACTGTGGACAGAACACACCTTTATTGTTCAGCAATCAACCTTCTCCTTATTGACTGTAGTAAGTTGACCTCAATGTAGAAAGTACTCGAAAGGAGCACATCAAAACTTGTCCTTACGGTTCTATTCCTCTCCCTCTCAGTTGAATGTCGGGTTTGCTTGTTTCTGTTAAAACACCGATCACCGTTTTCCCTTAAATGAAATGAATAACGCATAGCAATTAGTAAGAAGAAGAAAAAAACTGGACAGAGGAATAGTTACATGCAATGACGCTTCACAGATTATGATCGATTCAATAAGGAAAAGATGGAACCTTACTGGATAATCAATGCAATAACATTACCTCTTTTAATTGGACAAAGAGTTACACCAATACTTAGTCTTCCTCCACCAAGGCTCACAAAGTGAGGTTCTTCAGTTTCAAACTTGAGCGCGGAGCCCAGCTCCGTAACGGCAAGGGCGCGTTCCTAAGACAGAAACACAAGACAGTCTGACATTACAGCTATTGTCTAAAACAGTGATACAGCTGGTTTAAGTTTCTTCACCTGATCTCATTGCAATATATAACAAACACTTCACAAGCCAAGGAATTAGGAGACGAAGTTCGGTCCTCCCCTATCACCTTCCTCGAAGAGATGAAAATTCTACAATTCGTAAAATCAGGTTAAGTCAC